GCGGAAAAGCACCTGGTGTGGGGGAGAAGTTTGCCCTATAAGGGCCAACGAAGGGTCCATTAAGGGAATTTGTTCAAGAGATTATTTGGTAGTTTAATATTAATTTAAATCAGTAAATATTAATTTAATATTAAATACAGTAAAATACTCTTATTCTACGTTAAATTCCACATTGATTTCATATATCATTTGTTGGTATTTTTTCAAAGAAATATTTCCGACAAAAGTGGTCACTGCGGCCTAACCCGAGGTCACAGGACAATATACGTGACATATTCGGACTCAGGGTTAAATTTTCTATAAGAATTAATCATAATATCCCGGGTGCCAGCTTAGGCCGAATCTGACCATATCCTTTACATTATACGATAATAAGTATAATAACATAATTAATTCATATAACAATTCTAATGACTCCAGATCATAAATGTATTGTTTGACATAATTAGCTAATGTACAATTTTATTGTCATTGTCATTTATTTCAGTTATTATTGAATTTATTACTGATCACCATGCTTTAGTGAATATGTAAGCATATACTGTTATTAATAAAAATACTTATATTTTAATGTTTTAAATATATTAATATTTATAAATGTATATTAGATATTATATATATATGTTATATATATTATATATATGTACAGTGATAAGCGCTAGGCAGTTGACAGCCCAAAACAGTGCTTTTAGGATATTTCCTATACTCATAATGTTAAAGAAATCGTGATAACGCATGCGTAAGTAAACAAAGTAGTTTGGCTCACATTTTAAAGTTATCATTAGTGTTTGATAAGGTTTTTATTTGAGATGTTATTTCAATTACTTATTATTATCATCATTTTATAAGATTTTTGTTTGATTAAACAATTGTAATAATAATTACAATGAATGAATTATTAATCACAATAATAATAGTAGTAATAATAATAATGTTAGGAGTGATAGTGTTGACATCAATCACTAATAAAAGTCAAAAAGTTATAGTCAGAGATCCAGTCAAAGGCTTCTCAACGAGATTGAGTTTATCCGTAAGAATCCGATGGATATGTATATGTTTTCTGTGAGTTTGGTCGACGAAGACATCTATTTGTGAGAAGTAGTCATAAATGGTCCGAAAGACACCCCTTACGAAAACGGTGTATTCAAAGCTCATCTTAAGTTCCCTAACGAATACCCCTTCAGAGCGCCCACAATGCAATTCATAAGCGATATTTGGCACCCAAACAGTCTGTCCACTCATTATATCATTGTTCTCTATTAATGTTTGTTTTATAATAACCATACAGTCACTCCCGATGGACGGGTATGTTTTGGATTTTACTTGGATTGGTACACTGGAGTACGCGGCTATAATTTGGTGTTATCAGTGATATCGTTGCTGTCGGAGCCCTACCACGACCCGTGGGCTAATATGGTTAAAAGTCATACCATTATTGATATGATATTTGTGTCTATATTTTGATTATTAATTGTATGGTGTATTTAAATTCATAGCAAAGCCTTGGGGAACGGGTTGACGATATACGGGAGGCATATAAGTACTCAATTAGAAAATGGATGGAAAAAACTGTTTTCAAATGTGAAACTAATTTGTCCACGATCATTGTATTTATTCTACTATTAGAAATGTATTTTATATTTTGTTACTAATAATGATTAATATGTGCATTAATTTGTTACTAATATACTCGATTAAACACTAAACATGTGTTAAGACTTTAGTTTTATAAAACTTACAAAATGTTTATATTATATATGAAATTACTTTTAATTTAATATGATTAATAAAACGACCATTTTCTAATATTTAGACTGTATTTACATTTATGGAGTTTCCTAAAGAATAAACTCAAAAATAAATCTGATTTGATTTGCTTTGTGTAATATTTTCTGATTCATTGTACGACACATTTATTAAATTTTGATGACTGTAATATTGCCTATATTTAATATACTGTATCTACAGTAGATGACTTTGTGTACGGATAAAGCGTTATGTATGTTACCTGAATGATTTTTGTGGATTTTAATTACGTTTTCATTTAGCATTACTTTCACATAAGCCTTACCACAAAACACTTGTCATTATTGATAAGTATTGGTAGAAACGCTATACGATGTGATCGGCCAAAACACTCCGCAAACAGCTTAAGGAGCTTGAGATGAATCCGATGGACACATTCAATGTGTGTTTGGTCAACGAGAAAGACATGCATTTATGGCAAGTTGTCATATATGGCCCCAAAGACAGCCCTTACGAAAACGGTGTATTCAAAGCGCACCTCACGTTCCCCAAAGAATATCCGCTGAGTCCGCCCACAATGTGCTTCATAAGCCATATGTGGCACCCAAATAGTCTGTCCACTCGTTGCCTCATTGGTTGACCACTTACTTATGTTTTGTATTTTATGACCACATCCATGTAGTCTCTCCCGATGGACGGGTATGTGTGTCTATATTGGATCAAATTGGTTATGGAGAGGGATATTATGGTTGGACACCCGTTCTTACTGTCCCTACAGTTATATTATCGGTCATATCGCTGCTGTCCGACCCCGACCCCTACCCCTATGAAGTCGCCAATTGGGAAGCCGGGGTCATTTGTGTTACAAGTTTTATAATTATACTTTTGATGTGCTAATTGTGCCTGGTTATATTTGTATTTCAATTATAGAAGGAGTTTCTCAAAGACTTCGAGGCATATAAGCGGTCGATAAGGAGACGTATGATAATGTCATGGAGTGAACAGTGAAACTAACTGTCCATTTGTGTCGGAAAGGTATTGTCTAAGAAAGTTAAACTGTATATAATAATTTTTATCTAGTTTATAAAATTGTATTTTTTGTATTTTATTAATTGTCACAATTTTCATTTTAGTTATCTGATTTTATAATTGATTAATTTTTAAATTTAATATAAATAATTCTTATTATACAATAATAATGAATTGTTAATATCATAACAAATATTTTAAATAGATAAAATGTTTTACATATTTTAATTTAATATAATTTCAATTTTGCGATTTTATGTAAACTACACAATCTAAAAATATTTACTAATTCTTATATAATCTATATTTTATAAATAATAAGGAATCTCTATTTACAGAATGTGCTTAAATTTCTGAATGTTAGGAATAAATTTCTAATGTATTATATTTACAGTATTATATAAGCCTTGTATATTTTAAGATAATACTAATAAAGTAATAATAATTACAAGATTAATCAATAAAGTATACGGTAGTAGTAGAAATTTTATAAAGTACAGTACTACTATACATGTATATAATATATAAATATAAAATAATGAATATTTATTGAGTTTTATAGAGAATCAGGATCAATATATACCATCATTAATAAGTTATTAATAATAACTTTTAACGTCACATTTCTAGCTATTAAAATATAAAGATAATATTGTTTGCATTTAATAATAGATAAATTGATTGATATTTATTAGTTTAAACTAGATATTATAAAATAGGTGGTATAAATAGGTCTAAATATATGTCTAAAGTTTTAAATGTTCAACAAATTTATTAATTTTAAGAATTAATTAAATTTTAATTCTAATATTATTACCTCATGCAATTTTCACATAATATAAATACACTAAATTTAAGCCTGATTACTTTTAAGATGATCATAACTTACAATACAATTTTCGTAAGAGTTTTCATTAAACTCTTCATTACTCGCTTTTAATCGATAATGTCTTATGTATTGAAATATATTAATTAATAACAATATTATTATAATTAAACCAAAAATAATTAAAATAATAGATGTGAGGGGAACGGTATTAGTAGGTGTAGTGAGACCGGTAGGGTTGGCGCTTATACTCTTGTTATCATCGGTTTTATTATTAGACCTTATGTGAGACATTACATCCTCACAGATATCGGCACTGGATGTACGGTCACCACCAGTAATATAGCTAGAGTTAGGACTGTCTACCCACTGATATACGCGGATATAATCGATGATAAACGCCGAACACTTCCACGACTTGTAATCCGCGTCAGTGAGTGTCTCTCTGGGGAACAGATGGTCTGCATCCCCGCCCACACCCAACTCCAACTGTAACCTAAATGGGCGATCAAAAGGCTGTCCTTTTCTCTCATACGCATCGGATAACGTCCTATTGATGTCGAAATTTTGCAACTGATCTTGGTCATCAAAAAACCATTGAATGTGTGTCTCATTCCACTCGACACCATAAGTATGAAAGTCCTGCAGGTTTTCCGATACTTTTTGGTGTCCCTGATTGCTATACACAGCAGGACTGCCATAATGGGCACCACCATTTAGTAAAGAGTTTTGATTGTTTGACAAAATATCTATCTGTCCACTGATGGGCCACCGACCCTCATGTCCGGCCACCGGAAACATAACAATAACTGGTCTCAACATTTTCCCTCTGGGAAGGGCGGCCCTAATCACGAACCGGCCGTACGTCCAGCTCTTGGTTGACGTAATCATCGCTGAACTGTATTTTGTATTATTTGACTCTTGGGCTGCTGTTAAGGCTAAACACCCGTCCCTTAGTTGTAGATTTTTAGGATGATCCAGACTACAGTGCAACTGAATATCTCTGTGAACACCTGTGAACATAAGGTTAAAGTACAATAAGTTACACTTTTTTAATGTTTATATACAGTTTTATCACGTAATAAAATAGTATTAACCATTACTAACCATTACACTTTGCAGTAGACATTGTATTATCCACATCCCAGTGCTCTCTGTCTAATACCGGGCCCTCGAACTCATCCCTCCAAACGATATTCAATTGTTTCTCACAAGTAATCATTGAATGCATGAATATATTAATAATAATTATATTGAAAATCATGATTAAAATGAAATCGAAATAAACTTTTTAAAACAAATCAACGAGTTTTATATTTAAAATGACAATTTATATTTTATATTATACAAGTAATTCATATATTTAAAAACTTTATATTTTGAAAAGTGCGGAGATAATATAGACATAATTTACTAAACAATTTATTTATATATCATAGTTTATCAATCCAAACAAAATTATCTCATTTGAATTTCAAGAAAATTATGAATTATATTTATTGTTTTAAATTTGAAAAATATATTTTTAAATTATATGAAATCTAATGATAAATAGAGTAAAATGAAATTTTAACAAATCTGATTTGTATTAGTATAAGTGTGCACTGTAAAATGTCATGCTATTAACTGATTATGTCATAAATTCATGTTTTTCATTTAAAATTATCTCCAGACATTGAATTTGAAAAATATTTATTTTAACCAAGTATGATTCATTGATTCATACTCATACTGATTGACAAACATAAGATAATTATAAATTTTAAGTATTTTAGTCAAAGGATAAATATAAAAACATACTAATCTTAATGTATATGAATAAATATAATTTTTAACTCATTATATATTATTATGAGTTGTTATATAAATTTAGTATTATAAATTATATGATTACACTTGTGTTATTAACATAATTAATAATTAAAAACATGAAAAACATGTCCTGGGCGCGACCTTTTAATACAATTTGTCTTTTCAATGCTTTCTAATACTTGACTCCATTTATCTGATATTAAAAATAAGTTATTGAAAAAACATCTCAAATGAAAAACATATATTTATTATTATTTAAAGTAAGTCTTAAGAAAGCATATTAAATAGAATTAAAGCAAGCAAGGTGAACCATTGCAATTTACTTGGTTTCACGAGCCATTCGTAGATAGTTATTATCGACAGCACCGGGATTTATGTCTGTCTCGTAATTTGGCACACAATAGCTATACTCATCGTACGTCTCATCCCTTTTCAGACCACTATCTCCGGCTCTGCAGTCGTCGTAAGAGTCGAGACTAATCTCTTGGTTAACGATATTTAATCGCTTCTGTCTTACGGCTAGAAATATAACGATTAGTATAAGTATTGCTATAATTAAGCCGCAAATGATTGACACAATAGACGTGAGCGTCAGTGTAAACGTGGGTTCAATTGGTCCGGGAGTTGTGTGACTGTCGCCGTCCGTATGATCAGACGATCGTATGTACGACATGACAGACTCGCATATATCGGCACTGGATGTACGGTCACCTACACTGCTAATATGACCCGAGTGGACAGTATGGTTGTCGACCCACTCATAGACGCGGACATAATCGATGATAATCGCCGAGCACTTCCATGACATGTAATCACTCTCCGTGAGTGACATTCCCGGGAACAGATAATCGGCATCCCCGCCCACACCTAACGATAGGGTCAACTTAAATGCTTTGTCAAACGGCTGTCCATTTTTGGTATAATCAGTGGTTAACGTCTTATTGATATCAAAATCTTTTGAATGTTTGTTGTCATCAAAAAACCATTGAATATGTGTTTCATTCCACTCGACGGCGTAGGTATGAAAGTCCTGTAGGTTTGCGGATACGGCGTTATATTCAGCGCCGGTGTACGGGGTGTCTCCATTTGGGCGTTCCAACCCGTAATGGGCACCGGCATACAGGTTAGAGTCCTGGATATTTGTCATAACATCTATCTGGCCATCGAGTGCCCATTTAGTCTGTTCGGCAGCGGGAATCATAATAAAGGCCGGTCTCAACATTTTCCCGTTGGGAAGGGCGGCTCTAATCTCGAACCGGCCGTAAGTCCAGCTCTTTTTTGACGTAATCATCGCTGAACTAAAACTTTTATTATTAGACAAAATGTAAGGATTGGTCTCACGAGCGGCTGTAATGGCTAAACATCCGTCCGTTGACTGTAGATTTTTGGGCTGATCCAGGTTACAGTGTAATTGTTGCATCCAATTGCCTGACATTTTGAGTAAGAAATAATTTATTTATTACATAATCAGTTCCTTATAGTGACAATGTATAATAATTATATTAAAATGAATTGTGCTAACTTAATTAAGACTTTAAAATGAACACTTAAAAAGTTTAAATAAAATTAATAAATTTCCTTATGCAATATTGGTATTGCTAAATAAGCATATGTTTCGAACTAATCAGCCCAGTGATGATCCAGGTACTAACCTTTGCAATTGGTTTTAACAAATTCGTTATCAACATCCCATTTGTCTCGATCTAAGGACTTTCCCTCGAACTCATCCCTCCAAACAATATTTAATTGTTTCTGACATGTAATCATTGAATACAAGAATATATAGACAGTGATTATATTAGATAACATTGTTAAGTTAGTCATTAAGTTTTGGTTAAAAAATATTTTACGCATATGCAATATTTATGCTTTATTTTATTTATTACCAGAATTATAATAAAGTATGTCATGTTAACCAAATATGTTAGATACCTATATATGGATATAAAAATTATGCAAAATAATAGATATGAGCTTTATAATTGACTTTTTATTCTCGTTACAGGATGTTAATAATTATAAATAGAAATATATTAAAGCAAATTTTATGTAGAGCAATTTTTATTTACTAAACCTCTCATTATTTTCAGCACATATCAACCCAGATAGAGTAAACATTTACCAGTATAATTACATATGAATATGATTTAAAATTCTAACTTAAAAATTTTAATTAACCATAAAAATTAGCGAGTCATTTCATTATTATTTAATATACAATAATGTATTAATTAAAACACATTTAAAAATTACATTAGTTAAAACTAATTTTAAGAATTCTGTGTTGCCAACACTTAAACATGATAAAGGTATAGTTATAAATGATTTGACATTTATAAATTTATTATTTTATTTATGGGTATTTAATTAATTTCGACTTTTTAAATAAAATTTAAAAGATATTTCTTTTATTAATCGCAACTCTCATAAATGATTTAAATTTTACAATTTTAATATCTATTAGAATTTAAAATTCAAGAATTAAAATTTCAAAAATAATATAGAATCCGGGTTTATTTTAGATAGAAATAGAATTTTGAATATTTTTAATCACCAAATTAGTAGACTTAAAAAGATTTTATGTAATTAGTATAACGATTCATTTGCAATTTGAATGAATGGCCTCTCAATCAAAATATATCCACAAAAGCTAAGCGTAAACGTGACCCCAGCTATGGTTATGTACTCCAATATCTGCATTAATATAATAAATACAATTATATACTACAGTATGAACTTCATAGTATGATGTATGAATTGTCAATTAAAGTGTACTTTATCAATTTAAACTAAACTACTTACGGCTGTCCACACTGTTAAGTAAATGATTTGTCTGATTGTATAAAACAATTAACTGTAAACAAGTGGATGAATGAGATAAGCCTGGTAAGTCAGTTTACTAATAGTTTGCCATCCCGTCCACGACAGTATACGGTTAAGCACCGGTGCTCCACCCGTCCCACACGTGTATATTATATACGCCATACATATAGCCCATAAAACACCGTTAGTCGAGAGATACAAAACGGTCCACCAGTTATCGGTTGGTAAGGATTGGTTACGATAAATAAATCTAATCAATATGATCAGTGCCATTGTTGTCAAACATGACTTTCATAATAGCAAACTTGGTTTTTGAATCAAAAATGCATTTAATATACAATATTTTTAAAAGTCGATAAAATAATTATTTAAATATTTTTACTGATAGCTGTTCCGGTATTTGTAATAATAATAAGCCAAAAGCACCCCGATACAATAGGGACCCACATATGTAAAAAGTTTAGAAAAGATTTCATCTATAAATCTACAGAAATGTAAAATTTTTATTTTGCCCTAGATTCTACAATTAGCATAAAATTTTAAAAATTATGATTTTAAGATATTATATTTAAATAATATTTTAATACATAGTTCTAGTAAACATAAATTTCTATAATTCAATATTTATATATATACTATATAGTATATATATATAAAATGTTTGCCAAAATAGCGGTAAGTCGTTTTGTTAAAATTACTATATGTTAGAATTGAGCTAGATCAAAACAAAATTTTTTGCAACTATGGTTTTTTTGCACCAACACATCCAT